AGAGATTCCGCTTTCTTCTATTTTATTGACTCGAGCTCTCTTTGGAACTGTAATGAGAGAATGCTGATGCAGATTATTTCCAAACTACTTAATTGGAACGAGTTGTTTGCTGTTTTGTCTTGAAACATATATTTTTTTCAGTACCAATAAAAAGGGCGTCTTTGTCGGCCAATGTCATCAAGCAAACTCATGAAATTATCTTTCACGTGGGTTGCTTCACAACAGCGGGGGTCAAGTGTTGTGTGGCAGCTGAAAAAAAGCACTATAAAATATTGATAATTGAGTACCGCTAGCGTGAGGGATGTTGCAGGTATTCGTTATCCCTCATGTACAGACTCAATCAAACCGAGTATGCAATTCTCTTGTAATTGTGTTGTGATAAATGCTTCCGAGGGATTAGTTTGTTTCCAGATTTTTTTCTAGATGAATGTGTTGGGGTCTGTCTCCCCCTAAAAGTTGATGTTCTCTGTAATCGAGTACATGCTTTACAATGAGATAATTACAAAGGCACACGTACGCACCAAGTCCCGAGAATTCTATTCAGATAAGCCGTTATATTATTTCTTATGTGATCCATGATGTACGCAATTTCAATAGTTTTAGCCTTAACCCAGTTTGATAAATTATATATTCATATGCGGTCTAGCTTCTCTTTTATTATTTTAATTCTCTCAAACGTCCCTTTTATTTATATAATGCCTTTGTTGGAATATTTATCTTTTGTGACTCGAGTCCTCCACAAATTAATACTTCGGTTCATCCCTTTTAGACTCTTCTATCGTATACTCCCCGGTAAGTGTCTTCGTAATACTTTCGTTATCAAACAATTCTTCATCTGTAAATATCAATTCCATATCCTTCTGCTGTTTTAGTTTTAACTGTCTTACCCTATTGATTTGTATTAAAGTAGAAGCATCATTCAATTCTCTTTATTCAGATTTACTATTTATTCATCTTTTCTCAAACCTTCTTTCAATTGTAACATGTCTTTCTCTTGTTTTTTTTATTAACGAGTCGACAAAAAGCTTTTATTTCTTACCACTTGTTCTTTAAAGCCGTTTGTTCAAATCCCTTAAGAAACGTTGGATTATTTCAAGCGAGGACGCTTTCTTGCTAACCGAACGTCGGTGTTCCACTTAAAGAGCCGTTTGTGCCTGAAAATACGGTTGTGGCCGAGACAAGATCAAACATCATTCCATGTTGAATAAACCACGTGTTTTTGGCGTGAACGATAGCTTGCAGTGCTGTTCAAGTAAATATCATCTACGAGTATGAAGAGAAACATTCCCCAAAGCAGAACGAGACATTTTGATGTTTTTATCTCGGCTATATATGGATTTTTAAAATTACCCCCTGTCTATTTCAGCAAAGAATTCTTTATAAAATCATTTATATTTATTTTTATTTAAAATGTTGAAACTGTACGCTTCATCCAATTATTAAATGGGCCGATACTAGTTACATTTGTTATTTAAGCAATAAATGAATTCTTTCCTGAATACGGGTAGTTTTGTACATTTCGTTTGTGTTACTAAGCTGCGACAAAAATTCTTAATTTCAAAGAACCTGTATGTTGTAATTAAGGATGTAACAACACTTTAATATATGTTTATAACTATCCTTCTAAAACAATTTCAAACATTCATGAATATGTTAAATATATACTGCAAATGTTTATACGCATTTTATTTAATCATTTACATATTTGTATTCATTTCTTATTGAAAAAATCGTCTTAGACTTTATAGAAAATAAATTTCTTATTACCTCCCTTTATTTATAACATTACCCGCCTGTGTGATTCACGTGCACAATTTAAAGCAATGTGGTACGTTGTATTTTGAAGTACAATTTATTTGGTACATTTTCTTTAAAATATAGAAAAGGGAATAATTATAATTTATTATAATGCAGATCGATCATTTATCTGATTTATTTGTAAATATATCTTTCTACTTCTGTAAATAAGTGAATTGGTGCAGCAAACAGATGTTCTTAAATAATATGGACTATTTCAAGTTATCCTTTTTCAAATTATCTTAATTTTAAATTAAATATTTTACTTGATCGAGAATACTACATAATAAATATGGTGTTATCCCAGCTCAAGTATTATTCGCTCATGATTTAAGAAGTCTAAACAATATCATAACAAAGTGACTTACAAGTATGTTTTGCCTGCAGTCGAAATAAATAATACATGTCATTTTCAAACGATCTTTCGAATGCAGCACAACGCTATGTATTGATTTTTTTTTATTTTAACACTAAATTACCAATAAATTATTCTCTTCATCTTTATTAAATTAAATTAATAAATGGTAAAAAGTAAAAATCTATAAATAGCTATGATTCTATGAAAAGCTCAACATGTGCCTACCGTCGAATACGTAAAAGGTCTCTTGGCAGTCATGTGCGCTTGTAATGGGCTAAAAATGACCAATGAAATTTCAACTTTTATTGTAAAAAATAGGTGAGCTCGAACTTCATACCTTTTGCATGTGAACGCTGCACTTTACCATCATGTTATTCTATCTTGCAATACAACAACAACAACATTTAGTTAGCAATTAAGAATTACAATGCTTCTAGCCATATTATACAATTGACATAAGGTGAAAAAATGACACGATATATCATAAGATAATATATATTTTGCATATAGAAGCTCACACAATGTATAAACTATTTTGACATAAGTAAATTTAAATCGATATACAAATATGGTTACTATCATTGCTTAACTATTTCTTAATTTGTTTTAAAAAGTTATATATTTTGATAAATTTACCAGTTGTTTTTCATTATCTGTGGACATCAGTCTATCGAATTTATTAAGAGTTGGCCACCTTCAAAAATATGGTTTTAAATATTCTTTACCTTATTTCTCGATATTTTGGGCAGACAAGAAGAAAATGATACACATCTTCAATTAGCTCGTTGGTAAATAGACACATAAATAATTTTATTTCAATGTACTGAGCAATGAGTTCCGCCGTGTGGTCATGACAATTCTCACGCTTTGGTTAAATACCACACCCAGCCATTAAACAATATATGCAAAATTTACAGATAATATATACGGATGAGTTCTCGTTATTTATATATTATTGAAATTAACATTGAATCATATCTGATGGCGACCGAAACAAATTGAAGTTAATGCATTTCATTTAAGCCTAAAATTATTAATGATAACAATTCAATAATTTGTTCATGGTATTTTAATAAGCAACGATAACTATAGTTTTGTAGCTAGAGAAATTGTAAACCTTCTTTCATAATTGGTGTCTATAAATGCCATTCTAAAGATTATGAAAGGCGTCTAGTATCTAGTATGTAGACATACTGGACATTTCCTGAGATATTTATTAGAATATGAAAATAACTGACTTAATACAGATACAACAGTTCTACAATATAGCTAATAATCACGGTATAGTTGACTGAACCGGTTGTATTTCAATATGAATACTTACAAAGCTAGAACATGCAGCATCATTTTCTTAACATGCCCTTGTACTCAAAATTTGCACCTGTAGTATCAGTTGCTTCATCAAATCGTTTCCAATCGTTATTGGATGGAAACACTGCACTGAATGTGTAATTGTTAAATTAACGTATTACTTTGTATTTTCCTAGGAGTCTGTATACATCTAACTGGTAATAAACCCTAATGTGGTGCTTGGATGTTTCATGAAACATTTAATGCGCAAATGAAATATTCTAACTATCTTCTCCCTGTCTAAGTTACACAGCTTTCCGAAGAATAACATTTACTTTTTGTCGAGTTCTTGTTCAATTGAATATATTAACGCATAAGACTTAATGCGATGACTGTCCTGGAAAGCCGCGGCAATTACTGCATATTTTCCATAAAGTTATTGACAATCAATTCGGCTTTCAAAAGAATAAATCAACCATTGACTGTATTTATATTTTACATGCTCTTATTTCAAAACCTCTCGCTAATATGAAAAATACAACTAATGTAGCCTTTCTTGTTTTCGAAAAATGTTCGACAGAATGGAAGATTTTATTTGATTGCAAATATTATCACAAAATTTGTATTGGTTATTAAGTCACTGTACTCAAGCATTGGAGTGAGGCAAAAAAGCCCGCCAGCATCATTTTGTGTCTTTTCTTTCATACACATGTTAATGGAATAATGAACATTGGCAACTTTCAGGTATTTTTATTACTTTTGCCGATGACGCAGTTATATTTGCTCACGATAAAAAAATCCCTACAGTCAATTTTAAACGACATAGAAGAATATGGCAATGTATGTGGCTTCGTTTTTAATACCATCAAAACAAAAGCTATGCTTTAAAAAAAACGCCGTACTATATTCTAACTTTATCTGTACACCAATCATATAGAATTTGTAGTTTCTTTTGAATATTTGCACGTTTTTTTACATAAAATGGCAACTGGAACCGAACACAAGAGCAAATAGCCCAGCACGGTTCAATTTGTTCATTGTTTTTAACGAACTTAATTTACCAGTGTCTAAACAATGTGATTAATTCGATTCATTGGTAGCTTCTACGTTAACTTACGCGGCTAATCTGGGATCATCGCCATATGAACACATCAGCGGATGCTTCGGAATTCAAAATTTCAACGTTGTTTGCAGTATTCAGTAACGTCGTCAAACAGCCCAATCACACCAAGCTGTAACATTTTTGATTTTGTCGTTTTTGACGTTTTTAGAGATTCTCTATTTTCTCTATTTTGCCAATGACGCTTTCTTACAAATACTTTGCCTGCTAGCACACATCTCGAGGATACCAAATAGCTTCACAATCCACAGCTTGTGGTTAACGAATAAATAATTAAGAAGCGCATGATCAGAATTTTATAATGACTACCCACATTATACAAGCTGTTCGATAAATGCCTTATGAATTTGTATAGTTTATACAAGAAATGAATTTATCAGTCCAAAGCTAAATATCAGTAATTAGATTAATAATTTATTCATAAAAGAAATATCGAAAAAAGTGTTTATATAAAAAAAAGCAAGTTTTCATTTTCCGTGTTTTCACTGTAAACAAATATTTTTCATTGCAATGAAACATATTGGGCTACTTTATTTTAGTTCAGCAAATACACAAATATAATTAAATTTGTATTGCAATATAATTTGGCTACTTTTTTCAAATATACAGTCAAATTATAATACATGTAGTATGGTAAGTGCATGACATACATTGTAGAGAGATATAACAGTTCCTCAGCATGTTTTTATATTCTAGATATTTCTGAAGTGTTCCACACATTTTAATCGGTTTTCAACATCTTCAGACACGATCATGTTTAATAAAAAAAATTCATGTTGTCATATTTAGTTTCCGGTCTGCTGTCAATGTCTGATTCGTTGTACGTCTCATTCGTGTACTGGCCTGCATTCTTAGTCATTTCCCGTTCCTTGTTCACTTTAAAGAAATTGATAGAATACTTACAATAATTTATTTTACATATATATACATACATAAAATTTCTCAGTTTGTTTGTTCAATCAATTATCGGTCTTTGCACTCTTTTCACGTCTCGTATTAACTTGAAAACAATGACATGAAAAATATCAGTGAAATAGCTACAATGAGATATATATAAGTTCGAATGGACTTTTGTAGAAGTTTTATAGAAATAGACTGGCTGGCATTTTAGTTGTTGCCCTAGGATAAACAAAGTCATGTTTTGAAAAAAGAATGTTCCGTTGCCTGGTGTACGAAATGTACATAAATTTACTTCTTGTCTGAGAAGACAGGATACATCCAAAAACTTACAATTCAATCTGACTTAAGTTCATATCTATTTGTGTCTTATTTAATGCATAGCGTTATTTGCGTTATTGGAGAGTTGTTTTAGTCAGATTCCTTACCATTGTACCAGAAAATACTGAAAAAACGCAACATTCATATAAATCTGTTTGATGCATTTATTGGTTGGATTAAAGTTAAAACGTTAATTATTAAAACCGTTTAGAGTAAATAAAGTTTTAAATGCTTGTAGCCAATCTTTAGAACAAACACAACAAGATATTTATACCTTCAACAGGTATTTTGTGACTGATTATTAAACTTAATTGTAAGACAATATTACCTCTGTATGACACTGTATTATCTTTGTTATTCTGATGTTGTGCAGTAGTTTTAGTTGACCTTCGCCTTCTGCGACTGTAAGATAAATGTTATAACAATATTTTACCATGGATACCAGTGCAGACAGAATATCTGGCCCCGAAGCTAAGTGTTAACAGAGAAAACGAGGATGTGTAGAGCTTTTCCCGAACATTTACCAGTGAGCCGGCTATTCCGAACTTTATTTATTATAGCCAGTTTTTGCTTGAAACATACATGTAAGTTTTACCCGAAAAAAAAGAAACTACGAAAACTAATAAACATATTCAGCACTTGCCTCGGTCATCATTAGGAAACCTGTTTGATATGCAAGAAATGTTTTGTCATTTAATTCCAATGAGGGTAAACATAATGAATCTATTTGATACAATTGATGTGCTCTGTTTGAATAATCAAAAATAGATAAAAAAAATCCAATAAACGTACGCTGGTTGATATTTTTAAATAAATCCTTTAAGACTCCATTATTTGACAACTCATGAATCTAACACATATTTACATGTTGCTTAATATCCAAACTTATATCTATGTAATATTTATTGACATTATTTTACATTTTCATCGTCAAGTTGAGCTGTATTTGCTATATAAATTTACTGTTTGAATTGTGATTGATTAACTTTTAATTATGTTTAGGATAAAATTTCAATCTACCAAAAGTCTCTCCCACGCTTTTTATATATTGCGCTTTACACGTACTTTCCCATGAATATTTATAGAAATTACCTTCGTCGACGTCTATGGTTATTCATCGTTCATATGAAGTAAGTTACAGAATTTAAAGGATTTTTTTTAAATGCATGTGTTGTACTTAAAAAGTTTGTTTGAACCCATAGACGGATCCTGGCTGGCTCAAGCAAAAACAATTCTTGCATATCAGACAGATTTTTCTACTGTTTACATGGGTGCTAGAAGAAAAAACGTGTAAGACTAGTCACGTGCCTTAAATGAAGTCATTTCCGCGCGCATTTTATAAACATATGCTTCTATCAAAAAATAGTTCTACATGAAAATATTAGTTTTCGTAATTCATTACTAAAATATGGTTTCTATGTAAAATGCAAGAAAAAGAATGAGACACCAACTGCCGTAACAGACCGGAAAATCAAGCTCTCTGGTATTTGTTTAGCGGAAACTCGGCAAAGTCTCGTTACCGCCTCACAGTGACCGTCTAGCTAGATATTCTGGTCTGAGCTAATTTTGCAATTCGTCAACTCCTTCAGAACAGATGAATTTGTTAACAATTAAGGCACAGAGAGAGAGATAAAAAAGTTTAAGCAAGAAACAAAAAAAAACGATTAAAACATATTTAAATTGTCTGATTTTAAGAATTAGATTAGTTAGACACTTGTTAATGTTTAACCATGCTCATCTTTAGGTGAAAATGTTTTATCGGAGAAAATCAAAATCTATTCATTCTTTCTGAATAATTATGTCAAATTTAGATTAACAGGCTGACGTGCGTGAAGCTTTATTATCGCCGTTCCTGGACAGCGATATATACAATTGACAAGATTTGAACAGTTCTACCTGTACACCGCCGGCCTTTAGCCAATCAAAGCAAATAATTCGATATCACATGATAACAAAATTGACGTAAAAATCTTCAATTAGGGATGCTTAAAAGGACACGCCAAACCGCCATGTTTTGTCGGGTTTCGTTTTCGTACAACTTAAAAATACTATTATCAATGTAAGAACTCAGTACCAGTCTTAAGTCAAACACAGTAAATTGCAATATCTATTTTGCTACATGTCAAATCTGATAAGAGAATGTACTCTTAAGAAGGGTATAGTTTGTTTTCTTTTCAAAGTTTGCATTTAAAGAAAAGAAACTTCATAAATGCTTTTTCCGGGCGAGTTTAATACTATAATAATTGCATTATCCCTATAATATAGCAGATCAGTTATAGTCCGTTTCAGAAAAAAAATCGCAAAGTTTTACATTCTGACTCAGAACAAAAGAAAAGTATCTCAGAATCTAAGCACGTCTAGACGGAATGATAGATTAAATCAAGTATTTTTGTTGGCTTTATGTGTAACCACACATAATTAAGGTGTTTGGCAAGAAATGAAATATTATTTCTACATTCATGGCTGAACGGCGATTCCAAGCATTTTTTTAAAGTGCTTATACTTGTTTCATATTACAGTTCAAGTAAAGTTAATCATTTCTTTCAAGAAACTGTTCTTTTAATGACACTAAATTATATTAGGCCGCTTATAGTTTTAAGAGTTTAAAACAAATATACTTTGTGTGAAGTCGGAATATGTTAATTTTATATTTACAAAGAGACAGTGCACTTATTGTCAATATATATCCAAACATAAACTTTGAACAAATTGCATATTTAATATCCTACAAAATGTGACAGGCATGATTTTATCTATATATTGCTATTTCGAGGTGTTTATACCTGGGAAGATCCGATTTATATTCACCAAATTTACCGAACCTAAACTTCCTTTTAGATTAAGTTATCGATAACATTAAAGTGACATTATGCTCATCTCAGGGTATATATGATATCAAATATCATTTTTTTTTACATTTTACCAAATCTCCTTTCAATTTTATAATTTACTTTCAATGAACGATATAAAAAATCTCACTTAACAAATGGGAATTTCTATAGTTACCTATCGGAAATTAGCATGTCACGCTCAATTTAAAAAAGATTTGGGCATTTCTATTTGTGCAGATTTATTTCTATATTAAACATATGCGAATGTCAACTGTTAGTCAGTTACCATTATAGCATTCATTACTTTGAAATATATAGTCAATTCAGCTCATCTCGACAATGAAAAAAAAAGAGTATCATTTCCTCTTTAATTTAGACTTACTTTATCCTAAAGGAAAGGAATACGATTACCAACAACAGTATGACGATGGAACAAATTATCAGTACAATACCAACAATCAGCAAGCTGTCATTGTCTAAAATAAAATAAAGCTAGTTATAAATTAGCCGTACTCCATAATAAGATGACAAATAAAAAATACGAGTATTTTGATAAAAGAAAAAAATATCCAGCAGATGCAGAAGAAAAAGCGACAACAGACTTTTAAATACTTTATGCTAAATAATTATAGATTATTACTTAACAACTCTTTTAATCATATTTGATCATTTTTATATATGCGTATATTATAAATGCATCTATTATATAGTGAAGTGATCACTCAAAGTAACTTATACTGCTGCATGTAACTTTTTACCTTTTGCTGCATATGGTGTTACGGTCATCATGGTCATGGCCGAGCATTTGTCCGGAACACATTTACCAGAAATAGCGTTACAGCAGCGACACTGGCCTGGACAAAGTAAGTTGCATTCTTTCCCCCAAAATCCGGTCTCGCACAACGTACAGAGGCCATCATCTATGTTGCATTCCATACATTTGTCAGGAGAGCATCTACTACGGCAGTCGAATCCCCAAAACCCAGGCTTACATTTGGAACAAAGCCCAGGGGTAGAATAACGGTCACAACTTTCGCAATTTTCTTCTGAACATTTATTTTCACACCTAGTTCCCCAATATCCTGGCTTACAATTACAGTAAAATTTGTTTAGAAAAGCATCTTGTACATATAAAGCATCTTGTACATATTTATAATTACAGGCACCTGAACTTTTGTCGCAGCTTAGTATGCAGTTCGCCGGACATTCCATCTCGCAGGAAGAACTCCAATACCCGGCGGTACATTTGGTACAAATCCCAAAATCTTTACTGCATATTAAGCAATTTTTCCAATTACATTTATTTTCACAAAATGTACCCCAATACCCATGTTTACAAGTTGAGCAAGCGAACCCTTGTCTTCTGTTACAGTACCAATGTGAACATCTAGATGTTTCACATTTTATGTTGCAATGTTCGCCTGCATAACCCATCTTGCAGTTTTCACATACGCCTGATGAAATATCACATTTTTTGTCAATACAATTGTTACATTGTCTCTTACAGTCTGTACCCCAGTAGCCTGCTTTACATTTTTTGCAAATTCCTGTATTTACATCACACCTCTCGCAATTATTTAGGCTACAGAGGTTAGAGCAGTTTGGCCCCCAATATTTGTCCGGGCATAGCACACATTGCCCGTCATTTTTATCACACATTTCGCAAGTTCCTGTACATTTCTTCTCACAAAATCTACCCCAAAATCCTGAAATACAATGAGGGCAATATCCAGATTTATAACAGCTACCGAAACAGTTCGGGCATTGGTTTTCGCATTTATACCCGTACCATCCATCGTGACAAACAGGACAATTGCCATAGTAGTTCGAACAGGAGCTTCCCGCACACCCTGGTCTTAAACTGCAAGGCTTTTCACACGACTTTCCATACCAGCCATCTTTACAATATAAACATGGATGTTCGGTAGTGCATTTGCGACAGTTAATGGAACATGATGTGTAACATTTTCCATTGTATTGGTCACATCTTATACACTTAAAAGGGCATGGTATATCACAATACTTTCCTTGGTAGCCATTTATACATTCGTAACAAATACCAGTTTTCTTGTCGCAACCATAGGATGTACAAAAAGCTGGACAGGTGCTCGTGCAGTTGTTTCCCCATTGTCCACTATCACAACTAATTTCTTCACATCCAACTGTCAAAAAATGCATCAGGAAAGAAGATTAAGTATTTGTGAATGTAGTGAATGTAATCTTTTTTTTCAAAAGTATAAACATGTTTTTTTCAATAAATAGAAAAAAACATATTGTAGCTTTACGTATAAAATCATTACTTTTCTCATTTAAAAGAAGAAAAAAAAATCTTTTCAGAAACGAGTTAAAAGCAGATATCAACATACCTGTAGTCAGATACATGTAGATAAGTAAAAGAGGTATTACTTTACAATCCATCTTATAGGTAATATTTTGTATTTTCAGTGAATATTGTTAAATAACTGTCACAAACTGAAAACACACGACGGAAATTGATGAAGCGTGTAAAACTATAAAACATTAAAACTATCCAATAAACAAGGATGTTTCAGTACACAGTGCATTAAATATCGTTAAATCATTTGAAATATATTTCCTGGATATTAATGAACGAAACATGGTATAAAGTCTCAATTTATGTCATTAAATAACTTGTAAGTATCATGTCCTTGAATGTTAAATATCCTTCACTTAAAACCACTAACCCAAGTTGCTGAGGGTTCTAACCCCGCCAGGACTTTTGTTCTACTCATAAGCCCGCTAATACTTGTGATAGCGCACAGAGGACCAGCTGAGGTCCTCTTCCACAGGTTAAGCTGGAAAATTACCATATGTCTTTGTGTTAAACAGTTTTATTTGGTTTGTGCGTCTTCTTTTATTTGGGGACCATACGCCGCTTTCACGGAATGGCACGACCATGTCATGTTGAAGGTTTCATGATAACCGCCGTATGAACTCACCTGTTGATGTTCTAAATCAGAATCACACCGTTTTTTGTTTAAAGATGAATTTTGCTCGGTGGTAGGGGGTGGAGACAGTACCTTGCACTTTCCAGTACCGTCCATGAACAGGCTCATATCCAGCGAGCCTGAACATTTCAATTGTCGTATTGGGCTTTCTTAAAGCTGCGGTCTCAGTTATTCCCGGCAGAAAATATTTTATTTTATCTTCTGTTTGCTTCTTGTCATGAGATTCATGATTTTCATAATATTTACAATTCAAATATATATGACGGGACAAATTCTATATATTAATCTGTAAACTCCTTTTTGTTTTGAGAATTGTGGTTTGTATGTATTTTGCTCCTTGTCATTAGATTCACGATTCTCAATTTAGATATATGGCGGGAAAATTTCTTTATATTTGGTAAACTCCTTGCCACGAGATTTGTGCTTTTCATGTTTTTTCTAAGGCTTATAGCGAAAAAAGAAACTTGTATATAAAGGTTGTACTTGTATGTAAGGTTTTTGTATTTAGTGATAAAGGACTGTTACGAAATACATTAAATGATTGGATTAAGTTTTGTTATAAATAAGTTTGGAATTAAATGATTTAAATAAAACGTTAAAATATTTCTTGTATTAGAGTTTTTTTTATTCTGTGGAAATAAGATGTATTGAATCAAATATCAGTGTAGAATTGGCATTATTATTCAGTCTTATATAAAGGAAATATAAAAGTCGACCACAACTGGGATGATCCAGGACGACCCTGGGTGAAATTATTGTTGCAATCACACTTTCCTGGCAGCACTACGGTAATTCTCAACTAACCACCCAGGATAGCTCCGGATCATCAAGGCAGAGCCCAGGTGAAGTAACGGTTCATGACGGTGTTGCCCCGGTTGTTCCCGGATGACGCCGACAGAGCCCCAGTTGATCCAGGCAGAGTCCCGGCAGGGCAGAGGACGATCCCGACAGAGTCCCGTTGGATTGAAAATGCGCGAAAATGATTACGTTGGTACATAATTTTCTGTTTTTTGTTTGTTGTGTTTCCAAACAGTATTTCAGTCATATTGGTGGATAGTTTCCTAACCATCGTTCTTGGAGAGTTACATCAGTACAAGACTACCTTCCTCCGTACTAAATAACCAAAGCATCTCCCGGGGATCGAACCCACGCGAGAGAGGTAACTGGATTAGAAGTAAATGGCCTCTAACCCATCTACCACGGAGGCGGTTTAATAATATCTATTGTTCCAGAACAGTAATTCATAAATCCTTATGTAAAACTGGACAGAAGGGAAATTGGGAAAGGTTTTAATACAAACAAGTGCAATCATCGCTTTTGTGTTCGGTTTAGTTGCCATTAAATATAAATGGACTTGCAAATATTTAAAAGAAACTATATATTCTATATGATTGGTGTACAGATAAAATTTAGTGCGTTTTATTTTCAAAAAGCATAGCTTTTGTTTTGATATTATTAAAACTGAAGCCCATATACATTGCCATATTCTTCTATGTCGTTTAAAATTGACTGTAGGGTTTTTCGATCGTGAGCAGATATAACTGCGTCATCAGCAAAATTAATAAAGATAAATGAAAGTTGCAAATGCTCATTTTCCAATAACATCTGTATTAACATTATTAACAATATCGTTTAGAAAAAAAAAAGATGCTCTTTCCTTCACTCCAGTGCTTGAGTACAGTGACTTTATAGCCAATACAAATTTTGTGATAATATTTGGATTCAAATCAACTCTTTCAATTCTGTCGAACATTTTTTTCAAAAACAATAAAGGCTATATCAGTTCATTTCAGCGAGAGGTTTTGAAATAAGAGCATGTATATATAAATACAGTCAATTGTTGATTTATTCTTTTGAAAACCGAATTGATTGTTAATAAATTTATGAACAATATGCAGTCATTACCGCGGCTTTCCAGAACAGTCAGCGCATTAAGTCTTATACGTTTATATTAAAAAAAAATGACATTTATAACCACCAACTGTGGAAGAAGGTTAACAATTTCTATTGCTAAAAAAACTATAGTTATCGTTGCTTATTAAACTACCATGAACAAATTATTGAATTATTATCTGGGTTGCCATCCTTCGACATTGGCAAGGTGTTTTTAGAAACATGAAACTGTAGAACGCTATTCGGAAATTAATAATCAATTTAAGCAGTACGAGGACTTTAAACGAATTAAACCACATATTAGTAGTTTTAAATGTAACATTATTATGTTCCGACATTTCCTTTAATCGATTTGTTCACCTTGATGTTCTCTTGTTTGTAAAGCCGTGTTTTGAAGCGAAGCATGCGCATCACAAGAGTTGTTTACAGGTTTTAATAATTTTAGGCTTTCAATGAAATGCATTAACTTCAATTTGTTTCGAGAAAAAAATGGATGTCGCCATCAGATATAATTAAATGTTAATTTCAATAATATATAAATAACGAGAACTCATCCGTTTAATTTATCTGTAAATTTTGCATATATTGTTTAATGGCTGGGTGTGGTATTTTACCAAAGCGTGAGAATTGTCATGACCACAAGGCGGATATCATCGCTCACTACATTGTAACAAAATTATCAATGTGTCTATTTACTAATGAGCTAATTGAAGATGATTATCATTTTCTTCTTGTCTGCCAAATATATCGAGAAATAAGGAAAAGAATACTTAAAACTATATTTTTGCAGGTGGCAAACAATTAATAAATTTATAGACTGATGTCTACAGATAATGAAAGACAACTGTTATTTATCAAAATATATATCTTTTTTAAGGAATATTTTAGAAATGATACGAGAAGTAATCATATTTGTATGAGGATATAAATTTACTTATGTCAAAAAAGTTTATACATTGTGTGAGCTTCTTCTTTATGCAAAAAATTATAGATGGGTAATGATATCTCGTGTCATTTTTCGCCTTATGTCAATTGTATAATATGGCTAAAAGTATTGTTATTCTTATTGCTAAAAACATGTTGTTGTTGTTGTTGTTTTATAGCAAGATAGAATAGCATAATGGTAAAGTGCAGCGTTCACATGCAAAAGGTATGAAGTTGGAGCTCACCTATTTCTTACACACCGCGATGCATTTTTTTCCAATTTTGAAAAAAAAAAATGAAAAAAGCAACGAATCGGAAATACCTTGTCCAGTGAAACCGAACTTCACATGTCATGTCTGGAGTGTTTTTGTGTTGATATGATATGTCAAAGTAAATATACTGATTTAGAGGAAATAAAAGAAATGATAATCCGAAAAAATCAAAGAAAAAGACAATGAATGTAAATGAAGAGAAATCGTTGTGAAAGAGGAAATAAAAAATAGGTTTAAGTTCGACTCGAATTCTAGGCGGAAATAATAGTGACACTTGTTTTTGTTGTTTTTTTTTGACATTCCGTCCAACTCCGCCAAAGACGGACGTAAAACACGTGCGGTATGGCTGAGTGGTAAACGTGTCTGACTAGTAATCTAGTCAGTCTAGTCTAATCTAGTTCAAATCCCGTCCGTTAGAGGGCAAGTCGTTGTTTCCTTGAGCAAGAAACTTAACACTCATAGTTCAGTACTGGTTCTATAAGCTTTTAGTTTCCCATACAATCAACCTGAAATATATTATGTATAAACCAAAGTGCTTTTACAGTGACAAACGAAGAAAAATAGTAAGTAAACAGAAGGAATACTCCAGTCTTCAAGTTTTGCATTTAAAATGGGAAGGTTATTATCTTAGATTGACTTTCTTTGAAATTCACAGTAATGACCTAAATAAAAGTTAATATTTCATTGGTCATTTTAACCAATTACAAGCGCACATGACAGAGACCGTTTACGTATTTGACGGTAGGCACATGTTGAGCTTTTCATAGAATCTTGGCTCTTTATAGATTTTTACCTTTTACCATTTAATAATTTAATTCAATGAAGGTAATAATTTATTGTAAATTTAGTGTTAGAAATATAATATTCAATACAAAGTATTGTGCTGCATTCGAAAGTTCGTTTGAAAATGACATGTATTATTTATGTTGACTGCAGGCAAAACATACTTGTAAGTCACTTTGTTATGATATTGTTTATCTTCTTAAAACAAGAGCGAATTAAACGTGAACAGAGGCAACACCATATTGTACATGAAGTATTCTCGAGTAAAATATTTAATTTAAAATTAAAATAATTGAAAAAAGATAACAAGTCCATATTATTTAAGAACATCTGTTTGCTGCACCAACTCACTTATTAACAAAAGTAGAAAAGATATATTTAAAAATAAGTCAGATAAATGATTGATCTGCATTATCATAAATTGTTATTATTCCCTTTTCTATGTTTTCAAGAAAATGTACCAAAGAAATTGTACTTCAAAATAAAACGTACGACATCTCTTTTAATTGTGCACGTGAATCACGTGTGGGTTATGTTATAAATAAAGGGAGGTAATAAGAAATTTAAATTTCTTTTCTATTAAGTCTAACACGATGTTTTCAGTAAGAAGTGAATGCAAATATTTTAAAGATTACATATAATACGTATAAACATTTGGAGTACACATTTAACATATTCTTGAA